TTCCGGGTGGGGGTTTAAGTTAAGAAATTGAAAACTTTTGCGGGGCTTCAAACCTGGGTTAAGTAAAATTTTTAAAGTTTAGCCGGGTTATCTCAAAATCGGTAATTTTAAGGGGATGTTTTGTGAAATTTACTCAGGAGAAATTGCAGTGAATCAAGACATCAATTCAGGCAGCAATTTGATCAATCTCATGAGGCAAAAGCATTTGGTCGTAGAAATATTAAATAACTATCAAATTCATTATCTTTCGTGGTAGAAATTAATCCTATCCTCTTTGGCTACTACAGAATGCTCACATGTCAGAAGACTTGAAGGCCAAAGATGATCTTCATCAGCCTATTGACTCACCCCAGCAGAAAAATGAACGACACAACCTGAATGATCCAATTAGGAAAGTAAGCCGAATAAGTGGTGGATCAGATCGTAGCATTGAGCAATCTCCACTGCACCGTAATCATGTGAAATCATCCTGGGAAAGGAGAAACTCAACAGAAGGTGAGCATATGCAGTTGCCCTTGTTAATTATTGTATTTTCCTTTCTAAGTTCTTTTTTTATTTTTGTGTTATAGTTTGTTGGTTTTTTCCCCATAGAAACCATGTCTAAATTAGAGGGACAGTACAAAAACCCCCTTTAAGGTTAAAGTAATATAGAGCCCACCTCAATCAACCACCTTGACATATTTTCTAGTAAAATTTAGATGGAAATCCTTAAGTATTTCGTTAACCCAATTCTCTTGCCTATCTCAGTAAGCTCAGCCTTTAATTTCCTCTGCTTAGTCAGAAGCATAATCAGCATTTAAAGGTCAAAGGCTGTTCACTATTGCTGCCGCAACTCCCTGTAAAAGTTGAACCTAAAGGTGGTTTTCGTATTGTCACCCTATTTTAAAGGTAGTTTTTTGAAGGGAAAAAAACCTAGTTTCTTTTTTCCCCTCTTGATTTGGATCCTCTTCACTACTAATTTTGATCCTCTTCGCTACTAATACTTGCTCACAATTGTCTATTGTTTGATTTACGGTCATGATTAGATGGGTGAAAAGTGAAAATGAGTATGATAAGCTGAGGATATGATAACTTAAGAATTGGAATGAACTGAAGACATCCATTAAAAATATATAAAGTAGTGGTCTCCACTACTTTATGGTAGTAGAGAGATCCAATCCCGCTCCCTGCCCCCCCCCACTAATACATGGCCGGACTGTTGTAGTTGTATTGCCCTACAATATTTGTATAAATAATATGAATTACCTCCATTTATTAAACAATTACAAGAGATTTCTTTTCCCAACTCTTGACAGCTCCAAACACCCCAGGAAGATTCAAGACGAGGACTGGTGGTCGAGGAGATGATTCGGTTTTTCTCTGTCATTCACTATCCTTTACCTTGATAAATACATGCAAAACTCATGTATAAATTTCTGTGTCATATTACAGCCTGATAAAAGCCCAGCTGTGCCAAGATTTGGCGATTGGGATGAAAACAACCCGTCATCAGGTGAGGGTTTTACCGGTATTTTTGAGAAGGTGAGGGAGGAGAAGCAGAATGGATCAGCAAAAGTTCCTCACTTGACTGATGATTCAGTGTATCCCTATAGTAGTTATGGCAGCAATTCATCTGTAAGTATTCTTTCTTTTCCTTTATCAGTATTGGATAAGATATTGGTAAAAGATTTTGAGTTTGTTGATGTTTTGGGTTTTCCCTTTGTAAAATTGAAGGTTAATGTCGATAATTATTTGTGTGGATCCTATTAGTTATCACGATACTTACTCAAATAATGTGCTTTTATGGTTACTGACACCGTGTCAAGCTTATTATTCTTGAGCGTAACTGTTCAGTATGAGATAAAAAGGTCATTATCGGCACAATGATAGAGAACAAAAATTGTTCATGATAAGAACAAAGTGATGTGAACTTTAAGGTAAGTAGAGGTTTAATTGCACATAGACCCCCTGTAGTATCAATTTTTTGAACTAATGTCCCTGACACCCTGTAGTTTCATTGTTGCAGACAGACTCCCTGGTTAAGATTTCTCGACTCTTCACCCACGAATAGACTCACTAATTTCTCCCAGGGACGATATCTGCCGAAATATCAGAAATAGTATAAGAGTCAGAAAAAAATTAACCC